CACCTAAGGAGCAACTCAGTAATGAAATCTATTACTCTAATGCATACTTCTTTGTCCAATTTTTTTGTTAAGAAATTCAATTTTGACAGCCCTATGGTAGAATCAGCACATGGCAGATGACTTTGATTGCACAGTGACTGTTTTCTTATGAAACCTAACTTGGTGCCCCTTTTGTTCATGGGCTTTAAGTTTTGAAGGAATTAAGGAGGCAGTTGTCACTTGCTTCTCTTTTTTTCTGGGTAACTTAGAAGCAACACATATACATACAAAAGAGGAAAAGAAAAACAGAAAACTTTCACAAATCTCACTAATGGTCCAGATCTCGATAGTTTCATCTTGCACAATGATTGAATTACCTGCCACTTCAAATTTCAGTGCATTCAGAGTTTCTTGCCAGAAATATGTCCATTATTAACAATTTACAGCATTTATGTCACTTCAGTATTTGGTTTTATACTATTGTATAACTGGTGGCAGCGGTGGGATTCTAAATGTAAAATAAACGAGTAACCATTTGGATCAGTAAAATTAAACCTTACACTTACACTATCATTATCAACCCAGGTGATGTAAATGGGTACCTGGCAGGAATTAATTCCTTGAAATGCTTGAGCGCTGTAATGGCAGCTAGACTAAAGCCGAGTAACAATAATTGCGCCTCGGAATAGAATGTCTAGATAGACGGCGCTATAGAAATGCCTATTATTTTTATTATTTCAAAAGTTCACATCCTGTTGATGTGCTAGCTTTAAACACGATACTAAAACAATCCCCAATATTCTACTATTATCAGGGTTCGTAAAACTTTGTTTCATTTCACCTTGATGATATCAACTGTTCAGAGGCAGAAGGCTATTAACTCATATCATTTTACACAAACTTAAGTCCTTCTGACTATAAACCGAGAATATGCTGGTGGGAAACATTATCAAATCATTTACAAGAGCCACTTCTACACAACATTGATTGATGGAATGTAAATCAGTTTCATAATTTCATGCACCATATGGCAGTGCTGAATTAAGTAATGAATGACAATTAGATATACAGTGTAGTAAATGATGAAGGCCATATCTTATAAAGGTTTCTTTGAGCAAAAGCAATAAGCAAGCCACAACAAACAAATTACGTTTGGGAGCAGTAAACAAAAAGGCTCTGATAGTGTCTGTTACAGCTCTTGAAAACTCAAAAACCTCATAAACTGAATGTGAAAACTATTAAACAAGGCATCTCATTTGTAAATGGGAAAAAAAGTTCTGGTTTTCCATTCTCTTTTTTTTTCTTTTTTTTCTTGACTTTTTAATTATCCGGTAAATGAAACCCCATCTTACTATCTGTTTTCTCTTTGGTTGACCTGGCAAATTGTTGATTTTTTGGAGGATACTAAGTATTTAGAATATACATCATTGTTCTTAAAAGTAAATCCAGTCCTTTAAAATTATTATACAGTCAAACCTTTGAAGTAGCCATCTCTCTATAGGGTCCTAGAAATTGTTAAACATATTCCAGATTTACAAAGTTAGGTTTTAAATAGGTTTAGAAGGCTCAGGCCATTATCTACAGCCTTTTCACACACAGCTAAAATTCTATAAACATGATTAGTATAAACGTGTTTATACTAATCACCTGAACATACGACATCATTCACACACAGAAATTTCGGTGCGATCGTTAATCGTTTCGTGATTAACTACTGCTCGTAAAATGCGCAGTAGTACCATTGTGCGCATTGAAGGTCATGTCATATCAATCAAAGCGCACGCTCCACCCAGTTTAAACACGTCTGAAACACGTTTAAACACGAATAACCTTTCACACACAAAATGTCAAGCTCTCTAGATACGAACTTCGTATCTGCAGCCTGCTTTTAGGGGCGTATGGATCGCGACTTCGTATCTATCCCAACATCGTATAAACGATGTTCACACTGGGAAAATTTTCTTTAAACGTGTTTAAAACTGTTGAGTTAAACACGCTTATACTAATCATCTCTAGATACAATGAATTTTAGCTGTGTGTGAAAAGGCTGTTAGTCACATCACAAGACCGAACAAAAATATTGCATTACGTCAATGGCCCAGAAATAGTCGGTTTGGAGTCGGTCTAAAGTCGGTTTGGTGGTGTGACCGAAGTATGAGAAAATAGAAATGATGTTCATGTAACATCCTTGCATAGGATATCGGTTTCCTAGATGCCATTGATACCCACTGTTTATGTAATATTCTAATAATTACATCTCATTGATTGTTGACCTAGAGAATTGAAACCTTGGAATATAAACATGCCTATCAGAAAAGGGAAAAGTCACCAATTATTCTCTGCATGATTAGTTTTGCCTTCGGTGTAATTTTTATTCAATTAGAATATAAATCAACTATATGAGTTCCTTGTTTGTCTGTAAGCCCACATCATCCTCACTGGCTGGTCTGCCACTAACATATATTGTTTTTGCAAGCAAGACTGTATTTCACCGGTAGTCCGGGCATTTCCTCTCTCGGATTAAGCTCCAGTTCGATATTGCAATACCTGTCGGTCATCATACACATACATACATGGAAATCAATTTTAAGTCTGTACCGGTAGTTCAATGCATGGTATATACGATCAGTGCTCAGAAAAGGTGGAGTCTTTTTTGTGAGGAATCAAACAAACGTTTTATGAGAAATTGACCAAATTTTTTCTTCGCTGCAAGAGATTGATGTACTGTTGTACGATTCGGAGGGAGTGTTCGCCAATGTAGATACCGGTGTATCTTTTTATTAATTAGAGAAGTGAGAAGCTTATGGATTTCTAACACGATGTCGTGCTTCTTTCCATGGCGAGGCAGCCCTCAGACTAGTTCGTTTAAGGAGGTATAACATCATTGATCTGACATTTTCTCAAGCATCTTTTGCTCTACGATTTACTTTGTCAAACATTAGGTTTGGATTTTAGGTTAGGTTTAGCAAAGCATTAGGGTTACATGTGTAGGTAAAGTCTAAAGTCCAGGGTAAAAGTTATATGATTTCAACTGGTATAAGAACTTGTTCGAAGAACAGTAGTTGCTGGAGCATATGTTGCATGAACGTAACCTATTGCCTTTATATCAATAAGGATATTATGTTTGTCCATTGGTTCCTAAAATACAATGTAGCGTATTTGTGTTGCTCACAGATTTTGATTTTAAAATAGACTATAGGCCTCCTACTTAATATACCAATAGTTGTAGAGTGCATCAGTGAGGTTGCAGGATGTTTAGTTCATTTATATCAAACTATATATTTTGTTGTAAATGATCTGTTTAATGTTTATATTTAAGTTGTGATTATTCTATGGCAAGCATTAATAAAACGTGCATTCAAATTTAGAAACTTGAATAAACAAGTTTTGTTTCTGTTTTACAATGTAATATTTTTAATTTTTATCACTGTGTGTACCACTCTAACATATAAATGTAAGTGCATGGTAGGTTTTTATGAACGTCTGGTTATTAATGCTCGTTAACAATATGTACATATATGCCATAATACCATCGTTGGACAATTGATTTTGATAGTTGGGTGTTCCCTTCACATTGATTATGTCTGAACAGGATACAAATTTAATTACCAACTTCACAGATGATTTCTACTGAATGTCAAGGATTTATAGATACTGCAAGAGGCGTTTTATTGATTCGGGATTGTTTTCAAGCATTGATGAGATACTTAAATGTTCCATCATGCTTGTTTTCACTTTGGATTGTTGATGAAGGGCCTACATACCTTTCACTCATGTTTTGCCTAAATTTTATGTTCTATATTGAATTCTAAAGAGAAATATTTCTTGATTTTATTGGGGTGGGGGTCTGGTTGTCTGAAACTTTCCAGTGAGGATTACAATATTTGTTTTTAAAAGCCTACATGTACATTGTATATTGTTCAATGTGTTATGTAACTGACTATTAAACTGACCACTTTCATTTATTAGCATCAAGAACTCTAATCCTCAAACTACATGTACGCCAATGCCACAACATTGATACTTGACCACTTGAACCCTTATATTGACCACTCTCCAATAGGTTGGACATGGATGACTAATTAATAAAACAAATCACTGACCAAAGCAAAGCCGAATTTGTTGACAAACTGTAGCTTGCGTTAACTTCATACTCTAAGTAGATAGGGGTGGTACCCATTTATCAAAAGGGTTGGTGAAGCCATTCCTCTTCAGTTGAAATGCTGCCATGTTCTTCACAAGTAATATTCTCATTTTTCATCTTGAGGTTTCTGAATATCTGTGGACTTAATATTTTGAAATACATGTGAGATGGCCGATTCCCTATCCTGGATTCTATCTGGATTGGATATTCTTGTGTGTATATTTTACTTTGCTGAGCTTATTGGTGAAAAGAAATTGAACGCAAGGATGTGTATTTGATTTTTGTTGTGTTATCAAGAATTTTATGGAGACATGAATATAACTTTAGGCATACTATCTGCCCATATGCTGTTGAAAAGCCCGTAATCTGCCACTCATATTATTCATTGCTTTTTAGATAAAGAAAGATGTTTCATTCGTTTCTTTAACATAAATATGGAGAATAGTCGTTGTGGAAAGTTATTTCATTTTCAGTACCGGTATGTCAATAAAATAAAAAAAATCATGCACAATAGTATGCAATTTGACCATTTCATGTAATGAGTGAATGGACACGTCCAGCCGTGAAGTCTTTGGGTGCCTTCAATCATGTTCATGCATTTGTAATAATGACCATGAGGCATGTGTTTGACAGCGACGTGAGCAAACTATTCAATTTAATTTTCATCATTGACAAAAACTAATGGTGTGGACTTTCGACACTATATAGATCATATTTTTTTCATACTCGTAATTCATGCTTGTTTATATAAAATAAATATCATGTGCCTTCCTGCTTCAGTTTCAGGAAAGAACATGAGTCTAGCATGCTTTCTTTTCCATGTAAGATATATTATGTTTAATAATTAATTTGTTTGTTTGTTTTTTCTCTTCCACAGCAGACTTTGGCAGCATCGCAGACAGGTAAGAGAATTGTTCCCTCTTTTGTTTTCTTCTTCAGTTTAGCAGCATTCTTTTATTTATTTTTAAAGTTTTAGTGTTAAAAAGTATTATTAAGGTTCTAATTATTCTGATGATACGATTGTTCCATTTGATATCAGGATCTACCAATTCGTGAGAATGAGCTTTTAAGATCTTACAATTTCAGATATTTAGCTTTTCTGTTTTAAAATAATGTGATTTAAAACAAGGATGGATTTGATAGATGAAATGTACTCCTCTGTCTCTCTCTGATCATACCCTCTCTTCCTCTGCCCCACAGAATTGAATAACGATGGCCGAGGTATCTCTAGCTCAGCAAGCAACCCCAACCTGGCGGCCAAAGGTAGCGGCCTGGCTGAGCTTGACCCATCGATAGGGAGAGTGTCCAGTTGGGCCGTAGACTTTGAGAGGTTACTGACCGATGAACTAGGCTTGGCATGTTTCACAGTAAGCTTGGAAGATTTTTCTTTTCTTTTCAATTTGAAGATTTTTTTCTTTCTTTCTTTCACTTTGATTTGTGTTTCTTTCAGTACTCATTGCCATGCAGAAGCTAACATTGTATGCAAATATTGGAATGAATGATTGTTTAACATATTTAGGATTACTGGTTAGCAAGTTATTAAAGAAAAACATAGCATATCACACTCTCGCCATAAGTTTTTACCAGTGAAACAGTATCTTCAACAAAATACCAGCATCTTTCTGTTTTTTAGAAGAAAAAATGCAGTGTATTTTGTAGAATTATCACAGTTTTTTAAATAGAAAATGTTCAGCATTTATTCCTGCTCTTATAAGCCAGCTTAGTACTCTACAAAACCTGTGCATATTTATACTTTATTGATAAGAGTGCAGTTTTATTTTGCAGACTATTAGATTTTATTGAAGCTTTGCACAAATTTTCTTCTCTTGTTAGCAAGGCTATGTATCTTGCAGGTGCCTAACCTTTTTCAATTTTCAGAGAGTGCACTTGCATAACGTAATCCTGCGTGATGACGAATTTCTTTCAATAAATACACTGGCCAGAATTGAAAGTTTTATTTATTAATACCGGGGAGGTCATCGTATATTGAGGAAATTAAATACTTTGGCAGCAGCTCTTTACACTATGTTCACCTTCTCTCACCCTCTCCGAGGAAAAGGGGGAAATTATTTTAATGTGAATGGTTCAAGAAACAGGATATTCTTAGATTGAGATTTTACAAAATTAGATAGGAGCAGAAAAGTATAACACACATGGAATATTATGTCTTGTACCAGAACCTTGCAACTTGAAAATGTTCAGATACAGCTATTATAGGTCAAATTATGGTGGTTTCATGTTTTCTCTTAAAATTAGATCCCAATCTCAGTATTGACTCTGTTCATGGTTCTAGTTGCATATGTCCTTTTCAGTAGTCTGAGTTTATTGTAGAAAGGTACATGTTATATACATGTATGTAGACCAGTTTATAAAATCATGTGCAATGTCTGGCTTTGGTTGAATCGGAAGAATTGTTTTCTTAGGAGCCTGCAGTGTACACGTACAATACATTTATTCATGAAGCAATGTGTGACACCGTTTTGATTCTTGAGTATTTTGCCCTTTAAACTTACAATGCATACCAGTATATATTTTGAAGTATTCATATGTCATAGACATGCAATTATTCAATAGTTTGATAGGTCTACACACAAAAGCTATGGTAGTACCCTTTTCAGAATGTCATCCTGAAATTTGAGAAGACCACTGAAGGTTCCATGCAAAACACTGAATATAAAGATCCTGTTTCTGTGGCTTTATATTGTATTTGTTTGAGAAATGACAGATTATCTCAACAAAATGCTGATTTTCATCTGTAGTATCCCAACAGTTTTCTGATAAAAGTTGACAGCTCTAGGTATTTTATTTAGGACACAAAGGAGTTTCAATGACATATGCAAGAGGAGGTTTAAAATATTTGGATTTTTTGGGTGAAACATTGCATTTTTATTATATTTATGTTTTGTCTCTCTTTCTAGGAATTCTTAAAGAAGGAGTTCAGTGATGAGAATATCATGTTTTGGATTGCTTGTGAAAAGATGAGCAAAATCAAAGACCACAAAGAGGTAAAACAACATGATAATATTTATTTTTGACTAACATCTTGAAAAGTTGTCAGTAAATTAATTTTTTGCCAAATGCATATCACTTCATGACTTATATCTTATTATGCAACTGACCCATAAACCATTTTAATTTTGTCTAAACTTCAAGTTTTATTCCTTGGCAACTATTTTCATCAGAAATGTTAATTGTTCTTTTCCTGGGTGTTTTTTCTTTGCTGATTGATTTGATTGATATATTCTAGCTATTTGTTATGCTACTGAGATGAATCTCGATTATTTTAAGGCTAAATTTGAAACTTCAGTTAGTTCCAATGAGATTCTTATTGAGTAACACATAACCTAATCAGTTCAAAGCAATCAAAATTGTTTAAGTAGAAGGAGTCTCAATGAAATTAGATGTGTTTTCATCAGAAACTAAATTTCATCATTTCTCTATAGCTTCAACGGACAGCCGAGGAGATCTACGCGAAACATTTGGCGACCAAGGCGCCTATGCCCGTCAACCTAGACAGTAGCGCACGATCCTTGGTTGAGGGGGCCATGAAGAACCCAACGCCAGAAATGTACAAAGTGCAACAACTACAGGTATGTCATAGGTTAAAGGTCACCATTATTGAAAATGCAGTCAAACCTGTCGTACTGGGCAGTTTCTCACAAAGTTGTGATGAGTCTCGCTTTTGTCATCATCCCCTTGAAAGTTGTTGATTTTATAACGCACATTTCAATTGGATGTGGGTGAACGTGTACTTATTATGATTTTTGAGGAATTGCCCACTTGTGACCTGTTTCAAATGGATGAAATCACTTTGTTGAATGCCATTTTCTTTCATATTTGGTATGATTTGTCATTCAATGTCCTTCATATTATGTACATTTTTGTGTCACCAAATGAAAGTTACCAGAAATATACAGTCTATCATTTGCCTATATGCATCGTATTGTTTTGTCCAAAGGTTCTATGTACCATATACAAAATGATGTATTGTCTATGTTTCTGCTGCCTCATTGCAAACGTTGCGTCACTGGCTTTGTAAAAGTTAAAAAAGGTTATGCAAATGCCCTTAATTTGCTTTTAAAAAAGCAAGCACTGTTATTGTTCCGACACTTCAGTGTGTGTCCCCATATTTGGAACAACAGAGTAATAACCCCTATAAAGAAATATATGTGTGTGTCAGTACTCAGTAGACTTTATATCCCAACAATACATGCCTTTCAAGATATCTGTGCCAACAAATTGCAATCGTCTTGTTCTCGCTTTCCCTTCCGTGTCCTCCGTGGTTAGATCAATCATGTTTCAATAGGCCTATTCATCATTCCTGTTCATTATTGTTTTCTGCAGGAACAGATCCAGTCATAAAATTACTTTTAGTTTGTACCCAACACAGAAAAATGCTCATTAAAGTACGGCAGGCACTTCTCATTTTTCATCAATAACTATTTTTTCTCAAATTAACACATTTTCAACCAAACCTTATTGATAAAAGAAAAAAATCTGTATTCGATGTGGCTTGAAATATGATGTGAAATGCATTGAGTTAATGCATTACTACAAGAGCGTAGATATGAATACGCTATTGCATTTCTTAAGAGAAGGGATATGAATTGATATACCCCACAGACAATAGACAATTGACAATTTGCATGTTTGTTTGTGCTACTGAATTACTGGATTAATGGATACATGAAGTATTGTGTGTTCAAGGAATATTGCAATTTCTCTAGCCAGAACGCATATTTCATTCTATTTTGTTCTACCACATTACAATTAGCTGTCAGTCCTAGAAGTGCAAAATCACGTAAGTGTGTAGACATTCGTTCTCCATGCGCATACATACACAACGGTGACGGAAACTAATCCCAAGCAAAACAAGGCCTATAGTAGTCCGGAAAAGGAAGTGCAGCCTTCAGCATGACATCCAATACCATTGTCCACTATCATTTCATACATACAGTACTGTACTGGATATATTCCTCGGAACCACTTACAGGGAAAGATATGTATTGGATTATGATATTGTGTTACCATAGCTTTATGTAGCTCTAAGTGTAATATATTATGACTACCTAGCACACAATTAATTATATCATCACCAAGATTTATCAGGAATCACTGAATGATAATTGATATATATATATCAGGTGCACAATTACAGTTGTATATAATGCAATGCTCCAAATATAATTCAACTTGCTTTTAAAAGGGAAATAATATAGCAGTAGAGAAAGATATATTATTATGATTACTTATTTAAGGTAATTTTTTCCTTCTTTAGTTATTATACCTGAATCTGCCAGCTTAATTTTTAGAAAATGATATTTTGATTTTGATATATGAATTATCATGAATACTGCAGTACTAGTATGCACTCACTCAAATATTTTATCCAAATATTTAGTCATGAAACTCATTTGAGATTGTCTTGGAACATACATGCTACATTCATTACCGCTAGTCAAACCGTACGTTAGCATAAGTTGCTTTGGCCTTAGCATTCATGGTGCCGTTAGTTTGCTGAAAAGTTCCTCCTAATTTCTTCCCACATTTCTAGGTAAATAATAAGGAAATGCTTAGAAGTGAATCTGTGAATCAGATCAGTATGCACGTACGAAGGAGAAATCATCCAAATAAACAAATGCCAAATTTCACTTTTTCTTGTAAACCAGATTCGTTTCCACAAAACTGATACAATAAACAATTTTCTTTTACAATTTTGTCATAAATCTTAGAAATACCATTTGTTTATTTTTTATAAAAGCATTAGAGAGCAGGCTTTTTTTGTATTAACATGAGGATAGATGATATTCATGAAAACTTAATGTTCGAAAGAATGTGTTTATGTTAACCACATTGGGAGAAGCGGCAAAGAGGGCAAAATAAGCAATCGTTCAGCAACCAGGGCTACCGGTATATGTGATAACTTCATAGGCAGGGCCCACACCACTCTTGTAGATTATACATTTAGATACCAATTGCTTTCAGAGTAAGAAACTGCATTGGTCCATGGGAAAACCATTAAGTTCAGGCTAAGCAATTGAATATTGGCTTGCATTAGAATGGCATCTTGAAAATGTTCATCATGATTGCGCTTGCAAGGTAATCCCATTCCTTAGGGCAACCTCGGGTCACAGTGCAGAAAAGAAAACGTTTGATGTATTGGAGGTGAAAATAATTACTTTACCTTTAAATATCTCAATGTATGAAGTTGTCTACAGATGATAAGTGCATGCATTGGTACTTTTACTTGTAGTGAAGGTAATGTATGAGTTAATTGTTCAAGTAAAAATGAAAATTTAAAAGTTTTTTAGAGATCTTTCTTAACATGCTTTAGAAAATCCTATTAGAAATTTCAGGTGAAGATATTACTCAGTGCCCTGAAGTTGCATTTGTATTTATATGTGAACACGCGTCTGTTAAAATCTCATATATTTATTTTACTTTTTAGGAATGAATGTTAATGTTCATTATATGAATATATCAAATTGTATTTGATACACAATATGTATATATATATTTTTGCACATTCATGCCCTTGTAGAATATATATTGCTGCACTATAGTAAACAACAAAAGAAGGCTTTTTAATATCTCTCTTTCTAATTTTTTTCTAATCAATCCATCCTTTCCTCCCTCTAGATCTTCAAGCTCATGAAGTTTGACAGCTACTCTCGCTTCCTCAAGAGCAAGCTGTACCAGGACTGTGTCCTGGCCGAGATGGGTGGCCTGCCCCTGCCCATCAGCCTTGAGAAGGTCTCCACCGCGGACTCTGAGCCGTCTGCAGGAGACCTTGAGGACAGCGGTGGAGTTCACAGTGGCAGCGGTGGGATATCCAGTGAGAGCAGCAGCTACGAGAAAGGAGGAGAGAAGAACGGAGGAGTGACGCTGGGAGGAACGGTCAAGGATAGAATGGAGAGGAAGAAGAGTGGACCCAAGAGAGATACTAACAGGGTGAGACAGAGTTTTGGGGTGGATGAGTGTCAGTCACAATAAAAAAAAACGTTAAAATCGTCTAAAAAAAGTTTAAATCGCCTTTTAGGATTGTTTGACATACACTGTAACACAGCAATGTTTGCAAATTTCGCGAGTAGGTAAAGTTTTCAAAAGCCAAATCACAAAAGTTTTTTGCAGTGAACTTTGCTGTCACTTATATTCACAAATATTTTTATGCCACAACAGTTTCCTGTTTTTACAGTACTCCAGCTACAATCGCTCCTCTGAAATTTTAAATACTAATCAAGATCTAACCATCTTCAACTCTGGACCTGTCTGTAATACTAACTTACAATCTAATTGTAAACGGAGCCTTAACCCTGCTATGTTTGATGAAATAATCCAAGAGTAAATGTCACCAGAGTAAATATTGAATGACCTTCTTTAATCACCTTTACTGGCACTGTCAAAGTCACTGTTACTTATTTGTGGGTAAGCATTTTCTCTTCTGCTTTATGGTCCTAAAAGTTGCTTCACAGCTTTTGCCTATTTGTATTGTAAGAATCATCTTACCAAAAGTAAGCCTTTAAGCCATCAGATTGACCACACATTTAAAATTAAAATTCATTGCATTCTCGTACATTAAACAAAGAAATCAACATATTTGGTTTAAGGTACACAAGTCTTCTTCATTAATGACGTGTTCCAGCAAGAAAGAGAAAAGTCTATTTCCAATTTATAGAAGGGAAGCCGATTAATTAGCCTTTGAAAGAATTTCTTCGTTCATTTTGGGTGAAAGTGTGAAGTTAAACTTGCACTAGGACCATGCTACATTCATGTATGCCAATTCTTTATTCTCTGTGGGTTTCATTATAACCTCCCTCTCTTTTACCATAACTCCTTTTTGCATTGCTATACAGTGTGAGTTTGCCTTCTTATACATTTGTGTACTTAATAATTACTAATGTTTAGATACAATTGGACTTATGGCATTGCAAATTAGGGTTTATGTGAAAGATGTATGTATATATATGTATATTAAAAATTTAAATGAATTAGTGTGTGTAAGTAACCATGAAATTATAGCATAGAGAACTTTGACATCGAAATGTACATTTCTATGACATCATCTGAAATGAACACCAACATTCCTTGAAAAACTAGAAGATGTATATACAGGATCAAGTAGATAATCTTAAATCATGCAAAAATACCAGTACAATCGACTAACAATTGACTGCCTCGTGGTTAGCTTGGTTTCTTTTTATGCCTGGATTACATTTGGCCTGCGATTAGTCTACGGAGCCCGTATCCTGCTCGTATCCCCTTTTCCGTGCGGCCTCTGTGCGGTGGTAGGAGGCGGTCGTGAGATTTTCGTACGGATTCAGGGGCCCCGCAGCCTTTACGATTTTGTTTCGTGAGAAGTTAAACAAATTTGAAAAAATTGTAAGCCCGTAGCCCGTATACTTGTCGTAGGTGGCATTGCACAACCCCCGCACGGGCATCACCCGGAGGCCTCGCACTGATTGTGCACCAAACGTACTATTTTTTGGTGAACATGGGGGCAAAGAAAATCGTACGGAGATTGTAGACTCATGGGGCATTCGCATGGCAATTGCACAGCTATCGCAAGGTTGCTGTACGGTCACCGCGCCTTCTCCGCGCAACCTTTGCACGGAAGCTGCACAGGCTCCGTATGATTTCCGTGCGGAGGCTGCGGAGACTGCACGGCTACTGCATGCAAATTGCACAATTTCCGTACAATCTCCGAGCAGCCTCTGTACGGATTTGCCCCGGCCTGCCCCCGAGGGCCAATACAATAAATGGCACGATGCTCATAGATAATGTAAACACAAACATCGTAGCCCGTAGCCTCCTACGATGTCTACGAAAAATCGTAGACTAATTTATCGTACGTCGCCCGGGGCAAATGTAATCCAGGCATTCTAAAAGATAGATCACTACTTTCCTGTTTGTTTCACAAATTTATAAGAACTCATTCATATGCAATTGTTTACATTCCCCAGTTTCACTTCAGTGTGTGTGTGTGTGTGTTAATCTGTGTTTGTCTGGTAGAAAGGCATTACATGACGATTTCCTCTGGTGCTATATTAGAAATTCCTCTGACAATGTTGTTATGTCAAGGAATGGATAACTCGGGCAGTACAGGTCTTTCTGACTCTCAGTGTAATAAACTTATCTTGCAAACTAGAAATGGAAGTCAGAACAAAAGTAATACCTCTACCAGTAGTCATTTTTATCTTTCATTTTAGAGCACTGATGATACATTTCTGTTGAATTCCTAATTGAAACAGTACACACAAGATGATAAGAAGCATGCCTGCACTATAATCTTACTCGTTCACTCACATTTAAAAAAAAATGTATTTGATAATGTCATAACTGTGAGGCACGGTATCTAATCAAATGTGAAATACATGTAATATGAAAGTACATGTATGCATGAAGAGGGAAAACGATTAACGCAAGTGCACTTAACATTTCCTGAAAAATGGGAATCCTGAATGTTTCTTTTGTCTTGTCTATGCACTCACTAATAATTTGACATGTTCTTCTCTCCTATTTATTTTTCGTCTGCATTGCATTGTCTTTTTTAACTGCTGCAATCAGACCTTTAAGAAAAGGCACATGTTTATTAAAAAGGTATGAAGGTTATTAATGTTTCTCTCCCATACAAGTAGCTCTACTTGTATAGCATGCTTTGAAGTTCGAACTGGTGTGAATTTGTTCAGCTTGCTCATATAAATCTTGATGCTTTTATACCTTCAATCAATTTCCATCATCATTATGAAGCAAGTGAAATCATTATTTGCATATCTTGTTTATATTGTTTATTTGGTTTCTCTTGCCAGTTGGCTGGTCCTTTTTTCACTATTCTGTGTTTCTAGCATGTTTTAATTGTTTCCTTTTTTGGGGGTACCACTGTTTTTACACATTCTGTATATCTTGGCACACAGATATTGGAGTACAAATGTATGCATAGGGCATAGAAGGAGGGGGAGTATTGGTATGTTTGTTGCGCACAGCTATACAGCAACAACAAAAATGCTGCTTTTTATTGCATAAGATATGAATGAGCTGTCGGTATGTTTAGTAATGAGGATTTCTTAGCAGTGTATTGCCTGCTGCAATATCCCCCAGTATAGAAAGCAAATTCATTTCAAATCAAGAAAAGAAAATTATGTAAGAACTCGTGATAAGCTGTGTAAAAGATTCGTAGGATAAGTATTAATAATTCTCTTTTTGTTTCACTGTATCACTGCTTCTACTTTCTCATTAGTGTGTTTTTGTCACCTTTGTTCATTCTGTTTTGGTTCTATTTTTGTGAATTCTCTCATGTAAAATATCACTTTCTATTTCTTGCTGGTGTAATAAATGGTGTTTCTAAAAATATTAGTTTTTGGTTGATGGTTCTGTTTGACCTTTCTCTTTCCTTTAATAATAATAATAAATCATTTTTTCATAGAGCTTATATACATGTTTATAAGCGCTTTACATCAATTTAAAACGACGCATGTATATTTAATATCTTTTAATCACTTTCACTTTTGAGTAATTAGTATAACACATTTTCTAACATTGTTCACAGAATCAAATTGCTTTCTTTCTTGTCTTTCCTGTTTTTCTTCACATTATGATCTCGATCATCAGTCTGCAGAACTATTTCCTGATGACCATTGCTTGTTTTGTTAGTGGAGATTTCACAGTGTACAATTAATTTCTTATAACGCTGAATGAATTTAACTGATATTACACAAATGTAATCTTGTGTGTAAAGATGACCAACCACCATTACCGATAACGCACACACTCTTGGCTCTATGCCTCCTTTTTCTCACGATAACACTTCAGGATACAAAAGTACTTTTTATGACCCACATTTGATATCACAGCACCTATCAGGAAACTGTGAATATCCTGACCGAAAACTGATAAGATTACGTATATGAGCTGTGTGTGGCAGTAAGGGTTAGTGAGAGTTAGATGAAAGGAAAAGGGATTGGTATGAGTAGGCTGGAAATAGGTATTTCAAGAATATTTTCAAAAGATTATGAGGTGTATTTGTGTGCAATGACACCCTTTACGATAGAGAGTTCACTGTTGTCAAGGTTACCCAAATATTGGATTTTTTTTTCTTTTCTTCTGGTCTTGAATGAATTTTTAAGAATAGTCAAAATAAAACATGTTGAATTCTTAATCCCATGGTTAATACCAACCAGTTTTACTACAGGACTGTTTGTACCAGTAAATTATGAACAGAATAAATACCACACTAATTGAAAACAACAAATACTTAAATGCCCTCACACAAATATGATCATATGGGACCAGTTATCCTCAGTGTTGTAGTCTTGATATAGGCCTACTTGTGTATTTCTCATATGTGCTTATTACTTGACTATTTTACATTTTCAATCAGGTAAATGTGCTAAATGCCATTTAGTTTTTGTTTTTAACATTAGGTCTGTGTGAATTTCAGTAAAATATAACAATTTGATTCGATTTCTTTCCCCTCTTTGCTGGTATACTTATCATTTGTAATTGAAACTAAAAATGTTACCAAGTTTTTACTTACCGACAATGGAATTTTTAATGTGATTGGAGTTTATATTATAGACCCTGGTAAAGGCGAGATGATTAATTAGCAAACATTTCAGCTAATGTTTTTAATGAGTTTTATGATAGCTAATTTGTAAATTATTAATCTTGGTTTCAGAGATTTAATGCTGGCTAAGGGTCATTTCAGCTTCAGATTGAGACACTGCTTCATCAACTTTAGTCAACAGATACCAATTTTCTCGTTTAGAAACTTAATCCCCCCCCCCCCCCCCCAGCTAATTAGGAAATGTGATTGTTTCTATCTCCAACTCTGCGTCTTGTCATGAAAAACATGTCCTGGTAACATACCATTTCCAATGCCATTTATGGATATTATAGATGTTAGTTATATAAATTGCATATTCGATCAATTGTTTGAGAAAGAAAGTTCTTAGAAGGTGTGGGCAACAGAATTTAAACATCAGATTATATCCAATTTTACCTTTGACCTCAGGAAGGAAACTGAAGGGAGTGCAAGTGATAGGAAATGGATGAAATAAGCAAAAAGTGAGCTCAGAGAGAGGGAAAGAAAGATAAGTGAAGAAGTGAGAATGAGAAAAGGAGAGGTAGCCAGCGTGTGATATCCTGTTCAAGGAATATAAATTATTGCATTATATCCGAAGGGGAAGTATCTCGATTTGTGGTCGAGGCTTTGTGAAGTGGTTTGTTTGTTTCATTTTTTTTGCGGTAATCCACGTTCATACCTTGTAGGTGAGGGCGTATCCATGACAGACGCAATTGTTTCATTGATTTCAACAATTTTTTATTGTTTTTACTTGTAGATTTTAGGCAAGATTTGTATTGTGTTTTGGCATTTATTTCTTATACTTTTCTAATTTACCTGCTTTTTCTGCTTTTGCTGTTTTGCAGTTTGCATTTTATTTCAAAGTATTATGAAAATATTGTTTTGAATTACAGTCACTAGCAAAAATTGAAAGCACTTTTATGACCTATCTTTAAGTACAATATATCCTGAAACTTTTGTTTGCAAGTAATCTAGATTTAAGAATGTTTATTACTGCAAAATGGGAGATGTTTAAATTTGTAAAAATCTTTTTTTTTGGTATAATTCTGTTCAAGCCAGCTTTGCTCCTATTTTCTATACAATATGACATCTTTACTTTTTACTGATAAAAAATATATTTCTTCAAGATGGTGTACGTAGCTGCATTAAAAGGTTTATGTTGCTGCATGCAACAGTCTAGACTTGCATACTAACACTTGCATATAGAAACACAGAATGTTAGGAAGAATTGTGAGGTAATAAAAGTTTACCGGTATATTCAATATATACGTTATTCTCCAATCTTGATCGGAAGTGCATGTATAAATTGTTACTGGTCGCTATAATGTTTGCATTATTCATGAACAGTCGATGACGAACCAAAGTTAAAAGTCATATTTGATTTTCCCCCCTCTTTTCTTTCTTTCTTCAGAATGGCATCCCTACTGAGAAGGAAGACGACGGCCAGGAGAAGAAAAGAAGTTCCATACTGCCCTGGAGAAGTAAGTCCATGAAACAATGTCATTCTTTTCCAAATGATATTATACCATTAAAGATTAAAGAAAAAGTTGAGTTCTGGGAAGAGGTGGAAATTAATTTGTGAGCATTATCATTGTAATTATGCAAGTGATGAAGAACATCAGATTAAAAATGTTCCCTGAAAAGCATGGCTCTTCAAATACCTTCAAAACTCATTTGTGTAAAAATAGTAAAATTTAGCTGTTGACAAATCTATTTCATTTATGTGAAACCTTCTCACCAATATACCAGACACATAGCATGAAAGCAACATTTTCAAAAAGACCTGTTTGAAATTTTCCTTTGATATCGGTTTTGTTTATAATGCTGCTACCATTTACCTTTAGCTCTATACTCCTCTATAATGAAATTGAATTGGGCAATATAAACATAACAAAGTATGTATGGTGCTATCCAACCTTTTAATAACGGGAGACAAAAGACCAAATATGGAGCTAAATGCACATTAATATTTTCACACAATTGTTATAGCTTATACTTTATTATACTTTCTAGTAATCATTACGTGACGTTCATGATGCTAATAAGTTTCAATGGTGCAACGAGAGTAATGCATCATACCTCTTTGTCTCACCTCCGTTAATGATTAGCGATTATTACATGTCCTCCCAACGCCTAGACATCTAATCATAAATCATGAAACGTTTGAGGCAGCAAAGTCTGCCTATATAAGGTCAATTCACTGACTACAGTGACGTCTGTTGTTTTATGTATGGTGTCCTTGATATAGCTAACAAGGAAATAATGTTTTGAATGCCAAAGGTGTTTGATAACAAGTTGTATACCGATATGACATTTCGATTTTAAACAATAATGAACTTATGATGTTGGAGGCTACATGACTTAGTAACAGCAATGAGAATATTGATAGAATATTTCTATGTTAAAAGTTTTAAATATGGCAATATTCATTATTATATACCTCACTTAAGAAATCCAGCCATCTGATTGGTCGAATTGCATTCATAAACTTCAACTGTTCCTGTAAAATTCTCGGTAACCATGCATAAAACATTTCAATATTTTTAATAACCATGGTTATTAAAAAAAGTTGGTCAGCCTCCATGGTTACCCCATAGGTTTACATGTTAAAAAATGGTTTGAGCGATGGAGGATGCCGTATGTGTGCGAAGGATTGGTCGGTAATTTCAATACAATTGAATCTCGATCGATCTTACCGACAATTTTATCTTGCATTGTTGACATGAAGACGAAAATAAACTTCCAAAAACAAAAAAACAACATCTGCCGATAGATCTTGATCTAAGTTCGTGCAATATGCATTCCAAAAGTAAAAGAAGAGTCCGTATATGGAGCTTTTGCGAAGCATTCATCACACGCGAAGCCGGTTTCAATCCATTTTAATGTATATATTGGAGGAAACTACCAAGCATGTTAACGGCGGGCCATAGCCGAGTGGTCTAAGCGTTGGTTTTCGGTACACCTCTTGTTTGTACGCAAGAGTTCGAATCCCGTCTTCGACAAAAATGATAAATATTTTTAATTTTTCATTTTTTAGTCTATTTTTTTTCGGCATATAAAAGTATTAATGACTGCTAGTATTAAAAACAACATCTGCCGATAGATCTTGATCTAAGTTCGTGCCAATATGCATTGCAAAAGTAAAAGAAGAGTCCGTGTTTGGAGCTTTTGCGAAGCATTCATCACACGCGAAGCCGGTTTCAATCTATTTTAATGTATATATTGGAGAAAACTGCCTAGCATGTTAACGGCGGGCCATAGCCGAGTGGTCTAAGCGTTGGTTTTCGGTACACCTCTTGTTTGTACGCAAGAGTTCGAATCCCGTCTTCGACAAAATTGACAAATATTTTTAATTTTTCATTTTTTAGTCTATTTTTTTTCGGCATATAAAAGTATTAATGACTGCTTTAATATTCGAGAAATAGTTGTTTTCATACGCTCTCGGGAAGGTTAGAATTGGGCTATTCCCCTCGGCAAGCCTCGGGGAATAGCACAATTCTAACCTTCCCTTGAGCGTAATAAAACAACTATTTCTCTCAAAGCAGTCATTATACTATACTACAATAAAGAGCACAATAATATTCAGAGAAAAAAAGGGAGGCCATGTTTCATAGTGACAATAATAATAATAATCTGGATTTAAATAGCACTTAATACGGAATACTGCCTCTACGCGCTTTATAGATATTATTTCCCCCCTGATCAGATCCATTCACGCACAGAGTGCACCCTCTCCACTTCCTGGGGAGTAATCCTACCATATGGTCACCATCAAGGCATATGGCTATTACTACGACACAAAAGCTTTTGTCATCCTCCCAGGTCCCCATTTCTCTCCTGGGTATGGAGTGGCAAATGTAGATAAATGCCTTGCCAAAGGACATTAGTGCTGTGTCGGGGATCAAACCCTACAACCTATGCAATTCAAGTCAAGAGCTTAAACCACTCGACTATGACACCTGTATTGAGCATATTAAATGTTTGAATATATGGCAATGTCTATTGTTAGAAGATAAGAGCATATTGTATGATTCAGTCATTCAGTGAGGTAAAAAGTATTAAGATTCTGCAGAAGCTTCCAGGCATTCATGTGAATAGTCATTGTAAATTGAATCATTTATAAGTGACATGCAATCGATATTGTTCTGAAATTCTTTGGGATATGAGTTATTTTCAGAGATTGGTTTTCAGGATAATACTAACAATTTTTCTTACAATTTTTATCTTTACAGACAAGACAAAGAAAGTTAAAGATGTGGATAAAACAAGTAAGTAATTGTACATTGTCCCACATATGGATAACTGTGTTTGTTGTTTCTGAAGTGTGTCAAAAAAGATAAAGCAATTTCCGTAATTTTGTTAAATTTCATTTTTGATGACAAACCGGAAATACAAAGGATTTGTATTTACTACATGTACTACCACTTGAAAAACTGCATCATGTATGTAGTCTACCTGCTACCTCTCAATGCAAAATTACATTCCATGAACTCAAGATGACAACCACCTTGAACTTGAAGTGTATTCCAGGATATTTTAAGAATAACAGGTGGCCTGTTTGTCATCCAAATCCTGTATTCTTTTTTAGCCCCTACCTTTTTTGTCTTCTTCATTTGGTGGTATTTTGGCCTCTGAGTCATTTACTAAATGCAGGGGGAGATGGACAGTGAGGCCTGTTGTGGGTTTCTACACTGTCTGATAAATGTCGATCCCCACACTGTTGAAATGAAAAGTGCACTACCCTTGATGCCCCCTTCACCTGTGGTAGACCCCCCCCCCCACCCCCTCCCTGAAAAAAAGAATGACGCAGAAAAATTGAAAGCAGTAAGCATAATGTGTTTCTCATTTTTATAGTGTATATTTTATTAACACAGAAATCCACGGATATGCTTTGGTCTATCATGTATATGTAATGTGTGTGCAGCTACATTTTTGCACCCCCGTTTGCCATTTATTTACATATGTAAGATAAGTTAGATTTTCCCACAACCTGGATTTCAGTGACATATGGGCTTCACAGCCTTTGTGGGGGCGGTGTTTTTTATCCTTGGATGGGCCGGAAGGGGAAAGAGGGAGCTGGCCCCGTTCATAGGAGATCTACACCTTATAGAGCGTGACAAATATTGTTGGTCAACTGCTGTTCTCAAACATCATAAAGAAATAAATGACAGAATGAGATTCATGCCTTACTTAAATATTTGTTCAGCCTTGAAGGAAAAAAATCAATCCATTTATAGAAAGGTATTTAGAAGAAGAAAAAAAATACATGTAAGAAGCATTTTTCTATTTAAACTTCCTCGAAGGTAATCATATGGATTTGAAATTCTAATTAAAATTATATTGAGGCCCACCTGATGCCCTTTGAGAACACTAAATAGTACCTTGAATGCTACATAAAGCAGCAATTCATATTATCATTCATGTTCTAATTTGTACATTTATTTATGTTCTCATGATTGTAAACATTTCAACACTTTTGAATATCCCTTGCTTCTACATTGCCAACATAATACAAATCGTTTTACTGATACATGTAGCTAACCCCCCCCCCCCCTTCTAAATGTATAGAGTACACTTATACAAGTATTTTGATTGTGTTTGTGTTTGTTTGTAGGTTCTTGCAACGAGGATACGAGTGTGAGCAGTCGTCATAGCTCAGTGACCAGCAGTGATTTCAGACCCGCTGGGGACAAGGTAAAGTCAAGAAAACACTTGGGACAGGAGAGAAATAAAAGACATTCAATTTACACTCCAAGTTGAAAAAACAGTCATACGTTTTGAACATTGATTTAGTAGAATGGGATTTAATTAGTATGTAAACTTTTCTTGGGAGAAGAATCCGTGCAAAGTGCTTTTTCAGGTGCTGTTGATTGGAATTTTTATTTAATGATTTGAAATTATTGCCCAGCAGTTTGTTAACGTTGTCACTGCTTAAACAAATGAGAAGTAATTGTGATTTGATTTTAAAATGCTATACTTGATCAAATTTTGGTTGTTTCTATCTCTATGTTGTCGTCTCATTTTCAACCTCCCACCATCTATTTCTTATATTGTCCCCCCTCTCCTTCCCTCCCTCCCTTATCTCCTTCTCTCCCTCTTTCCCTCCCCCTCTCTTTCTTCCCCTGTCTCTCCTCCTGCCATCTCTCTCCTCCATTCTTTCTAATTCTCTTTCCTTCTCTATCCAAATCTTCACTAAATGCATTTCTCCATACCTTCATTATTTTTTTTCTTCAAAGTTTGTGGACATGAACCACTGCTTCCACATGATCTTCCCCAATAATGAGATCCTGACGTTGACCCCTGACCCCCAGCAGTCGGTCAAAGGGATCCTTCTACCCCTCCTGGAGGAACGAGGCCTTGGGCTCCAAAATGTGGAGATCTTCCTTAACGACACCAAGGAGGTGAGTAGCAGCCAGTGATCATAGCCTGGTTGATGATGATGATGATGATGATGATGATGATGATGATGATGATGATGATGATGATGATGATGATGATGATGATGATGATGATGATGATGATGATGATGATGATGATGATGATGATGATGATGATGATGATGATGATGATGATGATGATGATGATGATGATGATGATGATGATGATGATGATGATGGTGATGATGATGTCGATGTCGACAGTAATGATAGTGACGATTAGCATTGATTAACAGCACTTTATAGAGGTGTCGTGGTCGAGTGGATATGTCACCGGACTGTCGATCATAATGTCCGCGGTTCGAGTTCCGCCGCGGCATCAATGTCCTTTGGCAAGACATTGATCTACATTTCCCACACTCAACCCAGGTGATGTAAATGGGTACCTGGCAGGAATTAATTCCTTGAAATGCTAAAGCGCCGTAATGGCAGTCGTGCTAAAGCCAGGGTAATAATCGGGAGCGCCAGAAGTGTCAAGTCTGACAGACATAAGAGCGCTATACAAGAACCCACTATTATTATCATACCAGCTATTTCTAAGAGCTTTGAGATTATTTTGTCAATTCTCTCACAGTTCTCTTTAACATCAATAGTCAGAGAATCAAGAACGTACATTCATAGATTTAGCTAAGGAGAATAGTGAAAGTGATATACATCAGCACATCCAGATGATGTCTACCAAAGCCATTCATCTATTTGAGCAGGAAATAAAAGAGTAACACTATCTCATTATTGTCCATACTTTCAAACATATATTATTTACAAAAACACTTCAGCATATATCTACACATGTAAGTGGCGACTTCCGATGATGGACGCAAGATATTATCAAAGCAGACTGTGTACTTTAGCCTATAGCAATTGAAAGTTCTTGGGACATTTCCAGCAGTTCAGGTTCTATAGGGTATTGATAATCTGAATCAAATGAAAGTGGTTTAGTAAATATGAGTATTTTGAACTATGAGAGTACACAAGTGCAAACACCCTAGTATATTAAGAAAGGTTTGGAAGTGAAAGCAGTATGCTAGAAAGATTTGCTGTGTTGGTTTCAAAGTTGAATGGGATATTTTTAGCTACAGTCTCATTTGCAATTTGAAGTGATAATCATGTAGTTAGCTGCTTGATCATAGCATTTTGAATCTTTGAAAGTTTGATTGGTAGGTGGGAGGCTTTTGTAAACAAATAATTATCAGATATTTTGAATTAAATTGAATTGTTTGATGTGCTGTAGTCTGAGAGTCATTCCATTTGCAACAATCTTTTAAAGTGATTAACCTGAATAGGATTCCTTTTCCTGCTCTGTTCCTTTTTTGTCTATTTCTGTACATCCCTCTCTCTCTCTTCCTCTGTATTTTTCTGTCTGTCTATCTCTCTGTCTCTTTGTCTCCCCCCCCCCCTCTCTCTCTCTCTCTTCCCCCTCTCTCTCTTTTTTCTGGCTTTGCCCCCCCCCCCCCCCCCCCCTCTCTCTCTGTCTCCCTTCTCGGTATATACACATATCTCTCATTCTTTCTTCCTCTGTTTCTTCTCAGTCTTGACATTGCTTTACGATAGTTTGACATGTTCCTTATCTTTTTACTCCAACAATTAAAGAGAAATTCACGAATTTAAAGGCCATTATCAGCTTGAGAATCTTACCATCATATCTTAAAAGTTTCTTTTAGCAAGGAACGCCGTGGAATCCTCTTTATCATTAATGATTGAATGCTAATGAGTAATGAAAACATGGGCTCTTTTAAAAAAGAAACCATAATCATTAGAAGTTACTCCTTTTTTAAGTGTGTTGCGTTTTCTGTGTGTAGGTGTCAGTTTCTCCAAATTATATTCTTGTATCTTTCTCTCTTTCAGAGTGTTGAATCGGTTAAGCAAAAGGTATAAATCTATTACTCCATATAGCTTGTGCAGCTTCTGCTTGTGCAGCCTATTAATCAAACTCAAAGCTTTCCCAACTAGCTTAGCCAAATGTTAACGCTTTGCTTATTTCTGTTTTGGCATTTATAATGGGGTGGAGGGTTTGTTTTTGCATCTGCATTTCTGTTGTGTGTTTGTTTTGCTTTTAGCTATGTAGAAAGTAGTCAGTTTGGGGCTGTTTTTGCTTGTGATCAATTTGTATACTTTTTGTCTTTGCTTACATATTTATTCAATAAATTTTTGAAATAATATATCAATGTCACAAAGGGATATATTGTATATCATTGGATGGTCTTATAAGGTACCTGTATGTGACAAGGCACAATAGACAATAGCGCCATCACAGGTTTTCAGAAGTACCACTTTGTAATCTTTCTTTGTAACAAAAGTAATGCTGTGAAATTCCTGACATAGCAACAACCAGCTATATTATTATTGCAAGGTTGTGAGGTGGTATTGCTTCAGATTTGTGATGCTATTGTAACCATGTGTGTCTATAGTATTCACTACAAGGTGTAAATTGTTATATGTTGCCTGGCTAAGAGCTAAAAGGGTGTTAACTCATATCAGTCGGATGTAGAGTTGATGCCGTTTTGCTCTCAGAAAGCAATATCATCCTGAACTGGCATATATACATACCATGCATATCAAAAACCTATGTTTGTATTATGTGAGCCACGAGGGATCCAAATCATGCAGATATATCCCATATATACCCATACCTATTCAGAGTTTGATATTCATCCATTACCTGTCTTCATTTTTTTTGTACCCGGTACTTCCATTCCCTATCCAAATCCTCTTGTGGTACATTGAAATTATATTCATGTTTTGTATCTGTTTAGAACCTACTTGCTCTTTGGAGTTATCTGTATCCCCATTGTGTATACCCTTACCCACCCTGTCATTCCCTTTGATCCACCCATTGTGTATTCCCTTTCCCATCATACAAAAAAAGAGTTTCCTTTATCGGTATCAGTTTTGGTTGTTGGGGGAAAAAATGTAGCATTCTGTTACCTTACCTGTAATTTGTCTTCATCAGTGACCCTCCAATTGTGATTCCCATTCGTGTTGCAAACACATGTTTTTGGTTATGTTGGTATTGGCATTTGGTTAATGTGGTTGTCATAATCGGACCTAGTGTCTACCACTTCTCGCTTTTTGGACCCAATTTTTATATTCTCAATTCCTACATTGCATGGGCCTACGAACAGAACTTATCTTGTGTCAGTAAAAGGATTTGCTTCATTATCCACGTATTATCATATTCCTTCCCTTTCTTCTAGCATTTTTAGTGTAAGTTTTATTTTTAATTTTAAAAAAAAAATCATGAATGGTATTCAAGTCTTTCTCTTTCCCATCAGAAGTTATACCTAAAGCAATTCTCAACATAAACAGCTCTGTGTTTGGATGAATATTGAAAAAGTCAGGATATTTACTTTCCTTTTTTTATTAATCCTTGCAATTACAAAACTCTAGTCCTTCTTCTACTTTTATTAAAAGCATGGCTCAATTTGCTGCAATTTTATTTGCAAAATATTTACATATCTACCTATATCATAGCAAATAGAGAAAAAAAAGGTTTTATTTCTAAATATCAATACCTCATACTGTAGTTGATTGCAATGTAATTTCATTAAAAACTGCATTTAGTCAGTTCCTTTGATCAATTTCACAGTCCAAGACATATACCTGTAGTGAAATTTTACTTGCATAATTTATGTATTCCTAGCTGAATAAACACATCAGTTGAAATTAATTGCATTGTGAATAATTGATGTCGCATTAGTGATATTAGCATGCATTGGAAAGGAAGTTCAAATGGTATTTTCTTGCACTTGAGACATAATAAAACAACAAACTAAAAGCATGCACATGAATGCAAATTGCAAGCTATCAGAAATTAAAGTGCACCATTATTGTATGATTTAAGAAAAAATGAAAAAGAAAATACTTTTTTTTAATTTGTCCTTGCATCCTGGATCACTTATGCACCTACAGGAATACTGCTACTCATATAATTTGATTTAATGTATTTTGGAATTGATGTCAAGCTTTCAAAGTTTATTCTGAATCCCAAGGCCCATGCCCCATGCTTAATAATTATACGGATCAGATATGGTAGGATTGTCACATTAAAGGCACCTTGGATTTTCAGCATTTTTAGATTACATTCATTGTCCTTATGATACTGGTATGACAATGTAGATAATGACCAAATCATTGACTTGTATGAGGCAATTTTTTATTTAGTAGTTTGAGCTATGTTTTGCGCAAGAATGTAATCCTTTTTTATTAGACATAGTCCAATGCCCCCTTTTCACCTCTTATATATACCCCTATCAACATCAGATGGGGCCCTTTATAGTCCAAAATGATCATGTGACTTTGTAGTAGTTTGTACACTTGAGGTGCTCCCACAAAAAAATGAAATACTTTTTTTCCACATGTGTTATTCTGAAATTACTTTACAAGAATACAGTGAAACTCTTCATCATTATTGTACATGTACAGCATAACATTGAATTCCTATTATTGTTTTATCCCTATAGCTAATTAACTTGGATCAGCTTGCCACTGAGATGATTGGAAAGCAGATTGTTGTGGAGAGAAGGGTAGTCTTCAAGTAAGTAATGAGCTTAAAACCCCTGTCAGAAGTGAAGATTAATAAAGATGAATATACAGTGCGTCCCAGAAAAAACGAAACCGAGAAGTATCGATGTTCTATCATAACTTAATCACAACTATAATTAATGAATGATACATATTTGGAAAGCTTAGAGTCTCCTCTTTCATGTGATGCTACTCAGATGACGCATATTTCACGCATGAGTGATTAAAAGCAATTTGAAGGAAGGAAACCAAAAAGACATTTGGCGGGGGGTATCTGAATTTCGAAGAAAAATTCACATTTCTAGAAAGTTGAGTTTCTGTCCTTTCATATGACACCTCAATCAGGAAAAATGAGCGAGGAATAACAAAGTTCTGTTTGTTTAAAGTAGCCCTTACATTTTCATAATTTTAACAAACGAATTCGTTTTCACTGGGTGCCTTAACTCCGTTTCGTTGACAATCAGCCATGCATGAAGATTCTCGTCTACGGCTGATTGTCAACGAAACGGAGTTAAGTCTTTTGTCAAATCTGCTTTTTGCAACGGCAGGCACCCAGTGAAAACGAATTCGTTTGTTAAAATTATGAAAATGTAAGGGCTACTTTAAACAAACAGAACTTTGTTATTCCTAGCTCATTTTTCCTGATTGTGGTGTCATATGAAAGGGCAGAAACTCAACTTTCTAGAAATGTGAATTTTTCTTCGAAATTCAGATACCGCCCGCCAAATGTCTTTTTGGTTTCCTTCCTTCAAATTGCTTTTAATCACTCATGCGTGAAATATGCATCATCTGAGTAGCATCACATGAAAGAGGAGACTCTAAGCTTTCCAAATATGTATCATTCATTAATTATGGTTGTGATTAAGTTATGATAAAACATCGATACTTCTCGGTTTTGTTTTTTCTGGGACGCACTGTATATCAGCAGAAAGCTTTAATATAAGCCATAGACTACAGTAATATAAATTATATGCTATTTCAGTGTCTGTCAGAGGAGTAAACAGCTCTCTGAAAATCAAAATATCAAGCTTTGAAAATCAAAGTTGTCAACAAGGTGACCTTCACATCATTTAATTCCCTTTCATACAAGTGTTCCCTGCTTCATATTGAAACAAAAGCATAGGAATAATGCTGAAATTGTTGGGGACAAACCAAACATGTGAATTATTTTTGTATTTAGATTTAGCTTCCAAATGATGATTTCTGAGTTCAGACTGCCAAAAAAGGATCATAGATATTGCCCACTCATGATGAAGTCAAGTTTGTTTTGTGCTGCTACATTTCCTACAATTTTGTTTATTTCAATCCCTTCCATTCTGTTCAAATGTATAAATCATGCTTTAGCTTTCCTGTAAGAGAGTGATTAGAGTTAGGGCTAAGCTAACAGAGAAGATCTAGATACTTCCCAGACTTCTCAAATTGAAACTTCGCGAAGTTAAATGTCATGATATTTTCATTTAATGCCTATCTGCACTAGCTTGGCCTGGAGAGATTAGACCTCCCTGCATGGTCACTGACAGGTGGTTATCTCATCAAATCTACTCTTAATTAATATAAGAAAAAGGGGACCATAGGGGACCAATAGTCACTGCTTGGGCATTGTTTGCTATATAGAGGGCGCAAGTAGCTATAAGTAGTGCAGTGGGGCTTTAACCTATTTCCAACTTTCTTTCTTTACATCAGGATTGAGCTTCCAAATAAGAGAGTGATCGGAGTGAAATCTAAGCTGACCAAAAAGATCATAGAAGTACTCAGACCAGTTACATACAAGTATAAGCTGCAGCTAGATGCCCTCGTTGTCCATCTGGTGAGTAATACTTTTGATTGATTTCTTAGTAATAGTATGAATGATTCTAACAGAGAAGGAAATCGTGTGTGGGAGTTTTATGTTTGCCAAAGCTGCTTGTACGTTGTAAAGCTTGGCTGATGATTTCCGAAGCCCTTTGATAGCACAACTGTGTTATACCATGATGTGATCATAAATTCGTCTGTAAAAGAACAGAATTTCATTTTATTATGATTACTCTTATTATTATTAATATCCCGACATCAAGATTCTCAACATTCAGACTTGTTTAACTTCAAGAAAGATTTTGATAATGATAAGAATAATGATATTAGAAAAATATGATATAATGATGATGGTGACGACAACGACAACGATGGTGACGATGACAGCGGCAGTCATGACCATGATGATAATGATTATGTCATCTCTTGTTTACCCAGGGTAGCCTCATTATTATTAATACTGTTCACCCTGAATGTCCTACAATAATATTATTACCCCGGCTTTTGTGTTATATCTATTTCATCTGTTGTGTCAGTATTCCTCAGTTTTATTCAACATTTATATCAAAGAATCTTTCTTTGACCTGTAGGGAACATCCATATTTGGTGTGGTTTAACGGCAGATCAAAAATTAATCAGTGATACCATTTTGATGACTGACTTTTAACTGTTTATTTCCTACCAGAGTGACTCTCCTGTTCCTCTAGATCTGGACATCACCGTAGCCTCATTGGACGCTCAGAGGATACTCATAGAGACACTCGAGCAGTACAGTGGTATGTAAAGCTTACTTCTTTCAATTTATAATGATAGAACTGACAATGTGCTCAAATCATCAAATCATGTCCTGTGCAATACCCCTTTTGACACAATTTGCATGATACTAATGCAAACCCAACTTTCCATGAACATCAAGGCTCAAAATTTCAGTACTAGTTTAGATACATTCTCCAGGCCAGTTATCCAGTTACTGTTGATGCATCACAAGCACAAATCAGATTTCTGAGTATTTTTTTTTTGTAAGGTATCGTTTCTGGTCTTATTTATGGTACCCTTGGATATATTCCTGGCTATTAAATTGCACCAGGGATAGAGGATTACCGCCCCCGGATACAACTTCCCTGGACAACTATCTTTAGGTTTTAGAGCAAGGAATGGCATCTGGTTATGACCAAGTGTGTGCTAGTGCACTTTTGTTCATCTCAATGTCCTAGTCCCTCTCATAGGCTGTAAAGCCCTGGATGCTTACCTGCAAGTACAAGTATATACTTACATTTGTAGCACTTGGGCTATGTGAAACACTCAGGCTTTGTGAAATACTCGGGTCAATTAATCGAATAGCTCTTTTTTAAGATAACGATATGAAAACAAACCATATATCAGGACATTTCATTATTTAATTCTATTCACCCCGTAATTTTATCATTTCAGCTGGTTCCTATAGCTTCGGAGGGAGAGCTTCAGTTGGAGCAAGGGGTGAATCCCAGCAAAAATCTGGCGAGGTGAGGTCAAGCTCTGTTGATAGCTACCTGAAGGACGATGAAACAGTTCGTGCAGACTCCAGCAAGGTTGTCAAGGAAAAACTCACAGCACAGGTAGGGCATAGATTTAAAGGATAAGGTACTGTAGGGAGTGTGTGTGTGCGTAGAAATGACAGAGCTACGTGTATGGAAGTCTGTGGTGCCTTGAACTTGCTTGGTAAGGAAAAGATTCACTGGCAAGAATAAATCATATATGGGAACCTCCATTTTACACCTTATCAGATGGACATATGTCGTCTGTTACCGCAGAACCCAGGGGGCATGGTGTAAAAGGACTAAAGATGTTTTGCCTTCTGAAATTGTCATTCTTATATTTATTACTGTTGGAGGATTTTCCCTCCATGCTTTTCTCTGTAAAGGTTCTTAGGCTTGGTGGGATTGTAATTACCAAGTGGGTGATGTGCAATGAGCAGGATTGTTATCAAACTCCTGCGTTTTCATGAAGAATTTCAGAGAGAAAAGTACCTACATGTAGGTATATGTTTCCTGACAAGGGTACCAAAAGGGGTGATAGTTATAGTAACTTATAGTTTCAGTTTGTTAAATTAGAGAAATGCGTTCTCCCAAATTATCCACCCTGGGATGCTATTTAAAGCCAATTACCTAGGCTTTCTCTTTTCTTTCTTCCAAGAAAAGAGCTGCTTCAAGGCCTTGAAGATTGTGCACTGTGAGTGCCTGCTGGCCAGGATCCTTGTGCATATATGTACAGGGTGCAACTAAAAAAAAGTTTAATCCCGCGAGGGCAGTTAGGGGTGCGTCTTCCCCAGTGAGGACTTATATGCCTCAAGGGAGAGAGAGCTGGACCATGGGTAAACAAGTATCGGCCCAAAATCCTGCACACCGTAAGCGTAACTGCGCCATCTCTGATACTTTACTTCTGCTCTTCTGCAGGTATCAGCCCCGGCCATGTCAGCCTTCCAAGCGGCACCCCAAGGAGACACCATGAGGGAGCAGAGACACCTGGCAGCAGCTGCAGCAGCCAAGACCCCACCCCAGGTCAATCACCTACCCCCGTCCTCATCATCGGTCTCCACCTCAGCCCTGGTGGGTAAGGGCAGGACCGAGGGAAGGGCGGAGGCCAGGAAATCGGCAGGCAACCTGAAGGTCACTGGCAAGGAAACAGAAGGTAAGGGAAATCTCCGAACCAGGGATGACAGGTGTAAATTTAGACCAGGGGGGAGTTTCACAAAGATCCTAAGTTGAACTTAAGTTGGACCTAACAATTATGAAAAGCCGTCAGCATCTATGAAAATATTTTATAAAAGTTATTCTAAAAGGCATAAAATGTTGATTCAAATGATTCATATTTTCTTTTATCAAGGAGATTTCATGTTCTTGATGTGGAATTTATAACAAGTCTAAAATACTTTATTTTTCGGTTTTTAGTATATTTTATTTTAAGGCTACAAATGGCTCTCCATAATTTTTAAGTCCCAACTTAGAGTTAAGTTAGACTTAGGGTTTTTTGTGAAACAACCCCCAGGAGTCGTACTGTACAAAATGTATGGGGCTCCGAGCTATCCAAGGTTCTTTTCAGGCTAATCTGTTAAAACCAACTCCTATCCCACAAAGAACCAAGGGCTAGTTTTCTGCAGTTTTTTTTCTTCATTTGGGGCCCTGTGACATGTCCTCCCTGTTCCAGGCTTTTTCATGGAATGTGTTGTACAGAACGTATTGGGCTTTATGATGTTTGGGTGGCCTTTGAACTTGGGCTCCCCAACATCAGAGGCCACTGCTCTAACACACTGAGCTTCTAAACCTCCTTCATTGCTGGCAAAAGCTTATGGCTAATCTGCAATGTCACAAAACTTCTAGATCAAAGCTCAGTGCTTTAATTCCACATCTATGAACCTCAACCAGTATGATACCCAAGAACTAGAAGGAATTCCATGATAGGCTTTTTGTTATAATGTAATCAAATTTAATGGACAAATCTTAGTTTAGTGGACACAAATTATTACATTCACCTGTCAACGAATTAATGCTACGAATAATTGTGTTCCAAGAGTCAGAATGCGATTTGCACACATTACGTGTTGTTAGGTAGGAAGACAAGCCATAATGTTTGTTCTACCTAGCAACAATGAACGTATGCAATTCACTTTCTGACTTTTGAAATACAATTATTTGTAACAGGTGAATGAGATATTCTGTAGCAAGGCACAGATTTGTGCATTAAATTTGATCACTTTACGAAAATGGTCTATTGTCGGTATATGATGATTAGTTAAAAGTATCTAGTAAGCATAGTCTGTGACTGAAAGCATGCTGTGTGTCATCGCATGTTACCTGATATAGAAATTCTACTTCTAAACTGATAGGACCTTTCTTGTAGGTCTGTGTCAGACATCTGATACTAACCTTGCTCACAATATTAGGAAGATTTGAAATGATAGCATTGTCAATGCATGATCATCATTTCCTGTATCATTATCGATTAGCAATATCTCCTTTTTTTCTCTAATTTTCCTCCAATGTACACAATTGATGAGAAAGTTTCAATTTCAAATAAAAAACTTAATGTAAAACAGGTATTGTTCTTTGTTTCTCCAAACTTGGGGGAAAAAAACAATCACTGCTTTGACAGCTAGTTCTGGACAACTAATGCCAACTACAATCTCCTCTCCTCAACCACTCTACCAAATCATCCCTAACCCTCCCCCCTTGCCATCACCTAACCTGCCTCGCAGGGGAGAGGTAGTTCTCTTTGGGAATGGTTTCAGAGGGGTAGGGGGAAGGGTGGTGCCCGGAATCAAAGTCTCAGCAAATCTCAGCTAATCCTAGCGCACTGAATTCCTCTGCACGTTTTGCTATCCTCTAGTACTAACTTGGTTCTTCTTATTTTCCTCTTTGTATTTGAGAATTGTATTCCAGGTACCCTGCAGTCAGAACCCTAATCATCTCTATCATCTGTGTGAAAAAGCTTATTAACATTCATCTTTGTCTTTCTTTCCAAAAGTCTATACCACAATAATATCAATGAGATTTTGATTGTTAGTTAATGTCTACTCATGGGCTATTAGAATCTGACCTCTATCAACATAAAGATAAATGATTACTGGTATTTTAATTTTGATCTGCTTTTTAAGTTGATTGAGTTATATACATGAAAAGATGGTTAGAGATTAAGAAGTTCAAATATCCATATAGTGGTATTTCATGTCGTGTATTGAAACAGTATAAATTCTATCAAATTGACTCTATTCCTCTTGATTGTCTTTTCATATTTGTTTCATTGTACAGAAGTCTATGTATGATGCTAATGGCATCTCATAAATATTCGACTTGGCATGATTGGTAGGAATTCTCTCAGTATATCATTTCACGTCGTTGATTACTGTAACTGACACTTGCATGCTGCCCTCTTTGCCTTGCCCACTCTCATAACTATGTTACATAGCTGGTTATTACAAGCACTTTTATACCACGATACTGCATGTGGATATATTAATCATTTATCAAACCGATTACCTGTAAATTAGTTTTGGTGTCTGATTTTTATTCAGTTTCAGTTCACCAGACACCATTTAGTTAAAAACATTTAATCTATCATGTCCTTTTTTGCTGATCTTTGCATTAGCTCTTTACTAACAGCATGTCACAATGTACATAGAATAGATTAACTCTTCATACATGTACATGTATTCTCAGTATTATGTCTATACATGTATTCCAGTTACTGATACATTAGTCCGCTATTTTGACAGCTACTTGAAGATGTTGTACTTTGGGTTTTTCTTTCTTTATGATCTACTAATTTTTATGATTTTGTTTATTCATTTATTTATTTTGATTTGGGGGGGGGGGGGGGGAGGGGGAATCAGTTAGGATATGCAGAATGAAAGCGAATACTTTGAATTTATTTGGGACAGATTTTTTGTTTGTTTGAGGCTTTTCCGAATTAAATGTTCACTGATTTTACTCTCCTATATTGGTATGTAGGCTTTCATTGCACATTTACCTGATTTATCAGTTTTTTGTTTTTTGTTTTCTTTCATTTAACTATGATTTATTTCAATTTCTGTTGGTATCATACATTTTGCAATCGGGAACAGACCTTGATGTATCTGCTGTACATACATGTATGCATCCAAAAATTATATGTCTGGAATAAAGAACATTTTCTTCATGAAGACATTCGTCAAAGGTCAATGCACTCTTAATTTGATATAGGGATGGTAGTCATATCAGAAATGAGTAAAAAAAAATGAGGCAGCATGAATGCATAGCATTAACTTGTTAATCATATTACTTTCTTGTAATAGTTGCCATATAAATATTGATTTGTTAGGAAACCTATTTACCGTAAGCAATTGTAGAACACACTACTTATGAATTTCCTGCATCTTCCAATTTGGGGAAATACTAATACATGAATTTATTTGTTTCCCAAACTGTATGATTTTATATGATTTTGGCCTTTGGGGCTTCTGTTGATATCACAGTTAATTTTATCAATGTTGTTAATTTTTTAATTTTCCATACATTATTCCAACCTGTTGATTATGTGCTTTTTGTTTATTCATTTCTTCTGATGATGACTTTTTAACCTAAGCATGCAGTTTATTTCAGTTATGATTAAGTTATTTGCAATGATATATCACTCCTGCTACAATTTCATGCCAATTATTTATCGTGGTATACATGTACTATTGCTAAAAGGAAGAAAAACATTTTTCTTCCCTATGTGTAGGCTGTACATGTATTTGTTAGTAGATAGCAGTATAAACAAAAAGAATAAAAATCACAAATATATTTATGTATAATTACTAGCTACTGGTTATTTTGAAATGAAATAATCTATATTTAGAAGATTCTTTATTTATTAGATAATAGAATAGCATTAGATTTACTTTTGGTTTATATCCCTCATATAGGTGTGATATATATTTCATGTGCAGCGAGAAAGCATCTCGCCTAATGCTAGTGGCTAAATAATTGAAGTGGAATTTTTTCATTGCGAGCGTGAAGTGATAGCAAACTTAGGAAAAGTAGTTGCCATTTACCCTATAAATTGAGCTTTGTTTATACTCAAAGAACTATTCATATTTTTATTTATAAAAAAGATTGATCTTGTGGAAAGCTACCATAATTAAGCCAAGATTAAATGATTTTGATCTCTTGTGAGTACTTATATCATGGCACCAAATAAAAAATACTTCAAGTGTAATGATTGATTTATGTGCAAATTTAGTATAAATGTAATTCTTTTTTTTAAATTTCAGCTTCATGAAAAAATGTAACCGTTTCACAATAACCCCATTAATGAAATTTGATGAAGAAAACAAATTGAAAATGGGCCACAGATCTCATAAGAAATCAGGTAGGACAATTAAAGGATAACCAGATATTTTTTGTGTTAATATTTGATTTATGATTTAAAGGAAAGCAAGTGTATGTCTGACGTTGATTTGTGTAACAAACAATTTCTTTTAATTTTTTTCATCAATTTGCACAATTTTCTGCAGATCTTATTGCTATGGTAACCAAGGTTCAAGGCAAGCGCTTGGATGATCAGAGAGGCCTCACACTACGCAACTTAGAGCTCCCTGACTTCCTTAAAGTCTCTGCCGCCCCCACCTCTTCCTCATCTTCTACCAAGCCTGTGGACAGTCGTCCAAAGAGCGCCCTCGCCCAGCCTTACCGGACCAATGCACCAGCTTCTAAACCACCAAACCAGGAGCAGGGAGAGCTCAAGGCTATTAATATTGAGGCACTGAAACTACGCCCCAAGTCAACACCGCCAAGGCAAGGCATCATGAAGGGTGATGATGATGATGCATTCGTGGATGGTGTTTTTCCAACACAGGATCAAGCAGATGCACTGTTTGGGAGCGGAAGCCCGCGCAGTCCAGTTGTTCGGTTTGATGATACCGTCGTAAGCAGTTCACATCGAGAAACATCTTGGGGTCAGGGGTCAAATGTGAACTATCCCCAGAATACAGACAAACTAAGGCCATCGGTGGCGAGTTCATATCAGTCGAGAACAAGCTCTTTTGAAACCCCGGACAGTAAGTTGAGTCCGCGGGCATATGGTAATGGTAAAATAAACGGGAATGACTCAACGGACTATGGTCAGAATACCACGGCATACTCGCTGGAGTTTAATAGTTCATTTGGAAGCATGGACCAACCCAACCTTTTAGATACCACCTTAACATCAACGCCCTCAGAGTCTCATCTTCCTCCTCCTCCTAATGCAGACATGGACACCACCATACAGGCTGACCTACCGAACTACACCCCTCCCCCCGCGATCGGTGTGAATCAGCCACGTCCAGCTGTGTTTGCCAAGATGGGCAGCCAGAGCACCCCTGATGTTAGGAAGACCCCCTTTATGCACCCCTTCCGCTCTGGAAGCACCCTCCCTGGCCATAACATAACTCCAAAGCCTGTCGTGGAAGCCAATGGGTATGTTTCCAAGGCATACACTAGGAGCATATCCAGCGGCCAGCTCTCCTACTCCAACAACAACAACACCAACGTCCCCCTCCCTGTAAGTGCCCCAGACATCAAAGTTGAGACGAACAATTGCTATTCCAATTATTGTCCCCTTCCAACCACACCCAACGGTAGCTCCTATGGTGGTTCTTCCACCAACATTGATGACGTGCCCATGTCTCCTGCATCTCCTGTGTCTCCGGCTCCACCAGATGTGACTCAAGTGCTTGCCAAGGAGAGAGTTATCAAGCCCCCTCCTGCGTACCATAGCAGCATGTCCACCAGACAGTCAAATCCAGCATTCACGTCCAGTGAACACTTGCAGGTGGCACCAACCTATGGCCAAGGCAACCGACAGGGCGCAACGCAAAGTGCCACTTGGAGTTCCTCAACTGTCAATCCAGGCAGCGGTCCATCTGGGAGACCTAGTAACGGGGCCACATGGGCAGGGCCAAGAGGTAATGCCCCCCAGGTAACAAGCACAGCCTCCACATCCGCACCTCGTAGCTACCGAGGACCAGTGCCTTATGCAAGCATTCAACCACCAAGGGCGCAACCCAGCTCGCAGGGCGCTGTACCCAAGTCTCCTGTCAGTGGAAACCAAGCAACATATAGTAACATTAACAACTTGGATGCTGGTGCCTCTGGTGGGGCTAAGGGCGGGGAAGGGTCTGGTGAGGGTTACCAAGGTAAAGAAACAGTCGTCATCTCCAAGGATGGTAGGAAATTGAGGGCCACTTTTGTTTAAAATCTCCTCCAAACAGTTCCAAGGAAATCCCTTTACAGGAAATGTCTATACCATCATGTTATAAGATATCTTTGAAATACAAGAAAAGTTTTCTACCTGGTACTTTTTGGTTGTGCTTTTGAACAAATAAGTCGTTAAATGCTGCATGTAAATAACTCTTCTATTTGAAGAAGGAAAAATTCTTTCCCAAGCTCCACTATCTTCTCTTTAACCTATGCTTAACAAGTCAATACCACAACATTTGTTCTGCCAATCTTCCTTTCGATTCAGTCAATTTAATGCTCTCTGTCTTCAAACAAACTTATGTCCCCTGACCAAAAAATATTGAAGTAAATTTGTAAATAATTTTAGTTTTTGACAAACAGTAAATTGTTGGTAATTTCCAAATGAGTGATGACAATCTTGATATTTTCAGGTCCTGTTGATTGATTTTCATACTTTATATGTATATATACATACATTTGTAAGCATACTTGAATTCATTTTTATCTTCATCATGTATGTGGAGTTATGATGAAATTGAAACAACAAAAAAATCATCAATATTTAGCCTTAATTTGATATGATTTATTTTTCTCATTACCATGAACCATTTAAAAAGATGAAATGTATTTTATTATAATTCAAAAGCATTATATATATCATGCTGTGTTTGAACAAAATTAATTTAGTTGTAGGGACATCTTTCTTCTTTTTACTGCAAATTGTGCTTTTGTTTTGTCTTTTAATTGCAGTTTATACAAATTAGGTTGTTCTATCAAATGAGAGAAATTATTCATTGCCTGCACATATTGAACAACTTCTGAAATATTGACAATGTTTTGTAGATAGTGCAAAAAAGAATTGAGATATACGACTTGTAATTTATGAATTACCAAAGAACTTTTTGTTGTATATATATATAAATATATATTTCTCATAGAGCATATCTGTAGCTGCCATTTCTGGTAAATTATACTATGTGCACTTGCTTGGTTTTTCTAACTGATTTGTTATATTCTGTGTACGTTTTGTACAGTTACGTTATTATAAGATACCTTTATACAGAAACGATGTAATGTCCCTTTTAGATGGGAAAAAGTGTTAGTTGAGAAAATGTTACATTTTCTATATCTTCTTTAGACAAATGTACATGTATTAGCCAAATCACTCTATTTTTTCTGGCACAATATTATTGATGTCCTATTTTTATTTGTAGATGGCAGTCACATTGCTTATGCAAGAAAGGGAGTGTGTGTTGTATTATTGTTTGGAAATATGATATATTTTTCACTGATTTTATGCAAAATTTGTTGTCATGAAATAAGCATGTGACAAGGAATAAGATACATAATTTTCACACTTTTGGCATTACGTAGGGATAAATTTCGTTCTAGTCTGTCCATCTGCTTTTTCATTAATTCTTTTTTTCCCCCATAATTTTGAAGCCACCGATATTAAAAGCATTACAAGTGTTTGATATGTGATTCATTCACAAGTTTCTGTAGCCTCACTTTGGCATTTTGAAGTAGAACTTACAGCCTTTTCACACACAGCTAAAATTCTATAAACATGACTAGTATAAACGTGTTTCGAACGTGTTTAAACTAGTCACGAGCCTTTCACACACAGAAATTTCAGAGCGATCGTTAATCATTTCGTGATTAACTACTGCTCGTAAAATGCGCAGTAGTGCCATTGCGCATTGAAGGTCATGTCATATCAATCAAAGCGCACGCTCCATCCAGTTTAAACACGTTTAAACACGAATTTCCTTTCACACACAAAATGTCAAGCTCTCTAGATACGAACTTCGTATCTGCAGCCTGCTTTTAGGGGCGTATGGATCGCGACTTCGTATCTATCCCAACATCGTATAAACGATGTTCACACTGGGAAATTTTGTCTATAAACATGTTTAAAACTGTTGAGTGATTCTAATCATCTCTAGATACGATGAATTTTAGCTGTGTGTGAAAAGGCTGTTACTCTAATTCCAAAAATCAAGAAAACAGAGTAATTCAATGATTTTTTACTGAAGTTAAAGTTTGAATGTAATCCAACAATCTTGTTGTCCTTTAAAGTAATGTATACCAGTAAAAGGAGATTTGTTTTGAAGATGCTGTTAAACACATTTTATTTTGCACTTACAGAGTCATCTTTTGATAAGTTTATGTTTCCCACAGTTTTGAGACTTGAGAATTTTTGTATGAAATTAAGCATTGCTCAGGGTATATGCACGATGTACATTGGCTGATGTTTGAGTATTTGTCATTGCACTTATATATAGCTTGCAGAAATGTATTATTTTAGATTGTATGAACTTTGAGGTTTATGTTGATGAATTGAAACATGTAATTGCAGACAATTCATATATTTATATCTACGATTCTTCCATTTTTATGCGCTTTATTGAATATTTAACACTAACCAGATTGCCGTTCTCACATTTTGTATTTAAACATTTATATGAATTTATTATATGATATTAAATATAGTTGATGTGCTAATTATGGCAAATATTAGCTGTAGTTATTTCTTGTCATTTTGCAGTGCATTATTAAAGAGGAGAGAGAGAGAGAGGAAGGGAAAGGGGGAGAGAGAGAAGAAAAGGGGGGGGGGGGTAATCATGAAACAAGATACAGAAATTGTTATGAAACAATGCTGAGGGAAAGGTGGCGACAGATGATTATACTAAAACTTGGTGAACTGACTTGTTTCATTTGACTGTCAAAAATTATGTTCATTACAAAGCTACTGTATCCTGAAACAAGATACAGATTGTTCTGGAACAATGATAGAGGAAAGAAGGTGGAAGGAGGGAGGGAGAGAAAGAGAAAGGGATAAAAAGATCGACAAGAAAGAAAGTTACAAGGCGAGCAAAAGGATGGAGAGCTGACGTAAAAGGTGTTTGAAGTGAGGGATAGAAGTGAGAGAGACGGAGAGGACAACACGATCGCAACTATCGTTGAAAGATATCGACTTGAAGCAATTTCAATGGCCTTGTGCATCACCTACTGATGTATGATAGGGTATTGAAATGGCCCTTAATTTGATTTTTTTTTTTAAATCGTTGCGATCGTGTTGGGATACACTAAAGAATATTAAGAAGTCAAAATTAATCCAGAACTGGAATAAGGGCAAAAGAGGATGAATGAAATTTTAAGAGGCAAACGCAAAAGTGGCATAAAAGAATACAACTTCATAAACAACAGTAGTTCATCAGTATACATTTAGAATAATAAAGCATTTTTATTTCATGATACAGGAAAGAAATAAATAGATAACAAAGTCCAGACAACTTTCATGGAGGAACCAGTTATTTCACATCGTTTCTAAAAGTGTTTCCTGTATGTATACTGTACATAGACTAATGTTTTTATTCTGAACAAGGGCCACATTTGTAGTATATTCAAATACATGAATCGCAGCAGTAAGCCCCAGATCTTGAGCATGTAAATCTATGGCATTAAAGCATGCAGCTCGACTTGTTCGGCCGCTTCCCAATTTCCTGTCGGCCAACCTGAGTATACTTCACGCAAAGTACTACCAAGTAAGGTGCTGGTTGCAATTGGATCAGTCAATCACGTTTAAACGAACTTATGGTGAGTTACAATCAATGACACAAAAATTTGAAGATTACTGCTTGTAGAAAGTCAAAATTATAGTGCACAATCTAAGACAATCATGCCGTTTATCAAATAAATATGATGTATTTTGTCCGCTGTTTGCAAGACGGCTGTCACAGTGGAAAGCCAACGATTTTGTTAATTAGTATAAGGTGATGTTCACACGTTAATGTTTAAAAGCATTGAATGTACCGGTATGTTTTTACTCAGAAATGCTGTATTTTCAAATTATGAGGACAACTGCTGACTTAATAAATTGAGATAATTACAGCTGTTGAACATACATGTATCTCCATTCAATACAAGCTAAATATGATTCCCAATTCTTCATCGAAATCAAAACAATTTCATCAATCCCTCTACATATTCATTTACCTATATTTTCATTATTTATCGTTATTTTAAGTGGATAGTTCTCCCAAGTAAACTGGAGGACCATCTGTCCTCTTCTGCCTCCTTGTTATCGGGAGTGGTTACCGCAAGGTTTTATTGTAAGTCATGTGGTAGGAATATAAGAAGCACAACTATGTGGTAGACAAAAATTCAATACTATCTTCACTACTTAATGTATGATGTTAACTATAGAGGTGTTGTGGTCAAGTGGATACGTCACCGCACTGTGGATTACAAGGTCTGCGGTTCGAGTCCCCGACGTGGCACTAATGTCCTTTGGCAAGACATTGATCTACATTTGCCACACTCAACCCAGGTGATGTAAATGGGTACCTGGTAGGAATTAATTCCTTGAATTGCTAGAGCGTCATGCTAAAAAGCCAGGATAATAATCAGGAAAGCAAGGAGCGTCAAGTCTGACAGATATGAGCGCTATACAAGAACCCAATATTATCATTATTATTATTGGGAGAGTTACACATGACCAGTGTACTTGTGATGTTTCTTGTAGTCGACGTAGAAGGAACGGAATATCTCCTTGAGTGAGACTGGTAGGGTGACGTTGAGAAGAGAGAGCGTCTTTTCATCGCAAACATCCACTATCTTGTAGACTCCGCCCACTAGAGGTGTCTAAATGGGAGAATGCGAGAGAGAGAGAGTTGGATGTTTTTATATGATGCAATATGAGAATGGAGGGAAAGAGAAGAGAAGAGTGGTACTAAAAAGACAGTCTTTTGGTACAACAGAACCTGTAGAAGTTTTCATAGGTATTCAAAGTGAGGTTCTACAAGTACATGCAAAGCGACAATTGCTCTATGGTAATTTCCTACATTGACTGAGCTACTAAACTTCAACTCTTGACCCAACATTATACCTAACTCAATAATTTTTCACGAAATATGGCCTGGAGCAACTGTTGCTCAGCAAATGTTGGAGCACCAGTTCACAGCCCTTATTCATAAAACATGTTACCAGTATTGAACAAATAATCAATTTATTGAACACGTTAGCTCAAAGCCTATATTGATGACCAAGTTTTAGGAGAGAGGTCTCAGATGATTTACCTTGACCTGTGAGGGCAGTGTTGTCTTCTGCAATCCACTGATGTAGTCTGCTATGAGATAGATCCCATACTGAGATATGTCACCCTTCAATGATGCTATTAGAGACAACAACCTGTGTTTGAAGAAAGAAACAAAAATAAAATCACTGTTGTGATATCATATTTTCAAAGGAAAAAATGTAACATGATTATAAATCTAACATTCATTGAAAAGTATGATATTCAAATTAAGCAATTTTATGCTCTTGCTCATTAATCCATTGTCCTCATCAATTATATTGATTGTTCTGCATTTATGGTCCATATCTTCAAATTTGAACCCGATGCTTGGTTTTTAAGCTCACTCAAAAGTAGAGTTTAATGAAAGAAGATGGGCAGAGGTCAGAGTTTTCTCTTCGGAAAGTTTTCTCTAATTTTCTCTAATCCTACATGCAGCTACTATCTTGAAGCTAGCCTAAAACATAAAACAGAAAATTATATCAATCAAAATACATTCTTTCTACTGTGGAATCTGTTATTTTGGGCAGGTCCAAGGTATTTGGTCATTTGCTGTCCCATATCTTACCAAGAATAACAAGAATTACACAAAACTTAATGTCGAAAGTGACCTGAAGTTGTTATATGGTAACCTAGAGTGACGTGCAAGACAGAATACCACAGACTTGCTTTTCACTCATGATTATATCTGGTACCATAAACATAGATCCTTAGTGCGAATGGGAGAGCATTAAGAATTTGATTTTCTACCTCTGCATGTTCTCAGCACAAGTGATGAGTTGCTGATCTGTGACTTTCATTGTCTCTGTCGTCTGCTGCGAACATCTCTCCACCAATGCAGATAATAAACGTGATTAAAAAACAGTCAAGGATTATTTCATCACTATAAGATGCTCGTAAAGGTAACTAAGTGTACTTGCTCAAAAAATAATCACAGGATTTCACACAATACCAACTCAGGAAATGCTAGAACATGCCTCATATAATTATAACTATCAGAATTTATGAATGGTTGTGATTTAGTTCATGTATGTTTGAAAGTTTTTGAGGATACTTTAACCACATGTGATTGGTAACCTTCAAGCAATTTCCAATCAAAAGGATTGCTTCTGAACTGCTCTCATATTTTACACAGGATTTGAAGTAGTATACAATTCTGGACTTAAGTCTGAGGCCACATATTTGTGTAGCACCATATACCCAAATCTGTGTCCAGTACTTTTTCATTGTGATTTTCAAGATTTTCAGGAATATTTCATTACCGGTACTTGTATAAAATGTTGATGTTTTCTAGACCTCACAATGAAGTCTAATTCCTATTCAATACATAAGCAACAAGTCAAAAAAAAATTTTTAGACAGTTTCTATCTCGTTAAAAAGTTGTGATTCGTATTGAGTTTCCAAAAGTGACATATTGGTAGATTCAAAATAAAAGCAATGAAAAACACATAACATTCAAAAGAATGAGAAATGTGTCATTCATTAAAAATGCTATGTGTTTTTCTGTTATCTTCATTTTGATACCAAGTTGCATTAATTTGATTTAAAGT